GCGGCGACCAACGTGTGGCTGGTGGTGGCCATCTGCGCCGTGTCGAGCCTGTTCCTGCTGGCCGTGGTGCTGTACGGGGCGTCGCGCTGGGCGCCGCGGGCGGCCGTGCTGTCGGGGCCCGGGCCCACGACGCTCGTGTGCGCCAGCGAAGTGGGCAGCTGGTCGTACTCGCAGCGCCACAGYCGGAGCCTGTGCGTGGCGGACGGCGCGGGCAARAGCGACCTGATGGTTTTCAGCCCCAACTTCCCTCCGCCRCCGCCCGGCCCCGCTGCAGAAAACGGTTCTGCTGGGAAGGGGCCGTCTCTCTCCCCTCTTGCTTCAAGTTTGGTAAGAGTCCCCAAATACTTATATTTTTGTTACTCTCTCTTTGGTAGTACTGTATAGGTAATACACGGCTCTTCAATTTGTTTAAACACGTTTTTTGTAGTAAGAACTTTACGACGAACTCCTTGTTTTGTAGTGTGTTTGATGTAAACGGAATGATCTGCCTTGGACATGCGTGTTTGCATTTTGAAATATCGTTGACTCGTTGCTTGAATGACTCTCATAATTTTCCAGTGTTCTTATTTTTTCCCCCCCTGTCTTTTTATGATTTTTTTCCCTGTCTACTTGGCATCAAATTGCAGTACTAGGTGTTAGGGAATATTTTATTTTCCTGTTTTAGGCGCCTTTCAACCTGTGAGTTGTTCAGTAGTTTGACATCTCCCTCTAGATGAATGTAATTACATCCTTGAATCTGTTGTTACACCTGATTTGATGAATATTGTGTTCATGTGCGCCAAGACRCGCTCGTGRGTTTTTTGATTTTTAGGCTTTCTGWTTGATTCTTGAGAAGATGAAATACATGAGGATTTAATTTTGGGGCGGCAAGTGTGGACGAAATGTTGGTGGAGGTTGTGAGCGTTGTTCTCTTACTGGAAAACCAGSGAAAATTTGTGCGTGTGTGAGGGTGAAATAACATATAGGATGCTGTGTGAAAAAATTGAGAACTGTTTGAAGTAGGGAGTGCTGCTTGGCCTTTCCCCATGACCTCGTCTCCCTCTTCGTAGCGATGCGGTATCTCTTTTATCCCATCCGTGCAGAAATGCATTGGGGATAGAAGAATCCGCATTGGGTAGGAGGGGAGAGAGGCGGGAAAAGTGGTTTAGGGAAAATTATAGCGGAAAATTTCTGTGTGCGGTGTTCAGTAGTCCAGGGATCGTGGTTTGGAAGCTTTTGGCTCTCCCAGCAGTAGAGCAGAAAATGCCAAGATAACATATTTTCGATTCTAGTTTCCTCAGTGATATGCCGGGGCGGAGAGAGATTGTCTAATTACCGGGTTGTTTTCAACACATTTCTTTTTCAGCTGATCTTATCTATGCGCTGATGGCAATGAACTGAGTCTCTTTTAATCTCGGCTAGCTTCAAAGTACTCTTTGAGATAAGATGTTAGGGTCACGTTTAGTGTTTCTTGTTCAGTGTCAGAAAATTAAAGCACTTTTTAAAGGGAAAAGTGAAGATCTCTTCTATCTAATTTAATTTCTCTATAGCTTGGAAGCGAAGTGTGTAAATCTGCCGGGGTAATAAGAATAAATAGCAGTCTTACAAAATTTYGTGTCATGTATTCAATTGGTTTGGTTAACCCCCGTATTTGAAGACACGGTGATATCTGTGAACACGGTATTTTAATTTTTGACAACGTACACTTGGTTGGGTTTTGAGCTAATAGAGCTTTTTAGACGAAGGACACGGACTGCAGAACTTAAATGACAGAACGTTGTTTCCAAAATTACAAGAAGGGTGCTCATAGGTGTACCGAAAACAGAACGAAATTTGAAAACTTCATGTCCTTTTTGAAAAGTATCGTAGAAGTGGGCTACCTCTCGTTGATCCATAGAAAAGCATTTGAATRTGTCCCACGATTTTCTCTTTTCTTCTCTTAGATCCCTTACTACCGGCTTTACGTTTAAGTTCTTTGTGTATTTGCTGGTGATTGTTTAGTCTCCTTTGATCGTGAATAGGAGTCGTGTGCTTAAGGGGAGTGGGTCATCACTACCTAATTATGAGTGAACGACCTTCACTTGCGAGTAGTAAGGTTTACCCYAGAGCTGTAGAATTCTCACTTCTTCCCTTTATTCACGTGGATRTGAYGGAAYCACGATTTTCTACATGAAATACTTMTATTTGAAGCTTACAAACAGATTTAACTATCTCTGTAGAAGACAGAGAAACAGCATTTACGCACGGGTGTGGGAAGTGACTCTTTTCTTTAGGTTATGACTAAGGGCGATGTGGGGTCTCTTCGTTCCGATCGTTTGGGGCATGGGGGGATTTGGCTTCTGTTCGGTTCCCCTTGGTTTCTTTGACTGTAGGAATGAGTCAAAAGCTTTATCAGGGTTTGTTATGGATGTACACTGTTAAGAAAATATTTCAATATTTCCATTAGAAACATAAAACAACGATAACTTTAGAAACAGCTCGTGGATGCTTTTACTTCGTGGTATAGTCTGGGCAGGAGTCGTTAACAGAAGGCTCGAGAATGTCTCTCAGTRTCTTGAATAAACGATGCCAATTTCGCTCCGGGCTGCAGTTGTTGCCAGCCCAGGCTCTTCTTACCGCTGCACATTGCTCTGCAGASTGATGCTGATGAACGCGATGCTATCAGGCACAGCGGATTTAATCAGGCACAGCGGATATTATCAGGCGCAGTGCAAGCCTGGCAGCCGGGAGCGCTGCCGAGCGCTTCTGTGGGCGGCTCCGGGAGCGGGAGAGGCGGAGAGGAAGCGGCTGCACMGCCTGCACCGCCGTGGTGGCCGGAGGCTGTTTTACAGCTTCAAAACGGGATTTTAGAGGCAGGGAAATATCTCGCACGGCTGCCTCGGAGGAGCTGTCACTGACTCCGAGCCGCTCTGCCGCACGAGCGGGACTGAGCCCCCGTACCCGCTGTCGCTGGTATCCTTCCCGTCAGCTTCCGTGCAGTCCGGTGGTCTCTGACTGGGGGTCCATAGACCGATCTATGTCCTCATGTTAAAGAGACGAGTTCTTGCCTATGATAAGTGTATATAGCATGCAGTGGGTCCCTGTTTCTACGGTTTGATGAGAGTAATGAGGATTTTTGTGGGGTTTGGTGAAATCTGGAAATCCTCTGAGTCGAGATTATTTCGGGCTCTTAATGGCTAAAAGTTCTCTCTGCTCCCGCGTCCCCACGGAGCAGCTGCGAGCTTTTTGAAAGGCATCCTGACAGCGCTGCTCGCTCTGCCAGCAGGCACAAACCTGCCTTGCCAAAGAAGAGGGACTTACAGTTGCCGGGAAAGAGCGGATCAGCCCAGCGACGCTGCCAGAATTTCTGTCTGTCCTGTCCACCGGGAGAAGCGCGGGGCTGAGAGCGAGCCCAGGGCAGGGGGKTCCCACAGGGTACAGCGCGGGCTGCCTGCACCTACCGAGCAGGAGGAGCCTGGTGTTTCGGGTTGCCGCGGTATCACCGTCCTTCCTCTCGTGTCTGTCCCCATGTGAAAGGTAATAGCGGGCTCCCTGCACCTCCGTCAGTGACTCCGCTCTGGTGATTTGGGCTCGGTCCGAGCTCCGGTCGTCCGAGCTCCGCAGGGAGACCGTATTCACTGTCTGGCTCCCATAATTGTGCGAGTTTTTCATGTGCTCCTTCCAGGCGGCAGTGAGGGCTGGAGCAATCGGTCCGTCCGGGGACAGCTGCCGCCGCGGAGAGCTCGCTGGTTTCCGTGGSAGGAGAAACAACAGAGCTGTTGCTCCGTCCGTTCCCTTTCATAGATTCCCCTGCGCCCTCCCGCTGAAGTGCAGTGTCCTAATTTTGCACCAATGGGCGCCCCTCAGTTCTGGTGAGCGCCCCTGGGATTTTCTCWAGCCCCGGTTCCGAGCAGGATGTGTCTTGCACCTTGTGTCGAAGGTACCACCCCTCATGCATTGCTCGCTGAAACGGCGTCTTAAAATCAGGCAGACTTAACACTGATGTTCAAACACGAGTGTCCCTTCGTGTGGTCCAGCTGTGTGCTCCACAGCCACTCCATAAACTGATTTTGCTCTTCGCCTTTAGTTTTTGCCTTTGCTGGTTTAACAGTTTCTTCTGACAGCCACCGTTGTTCTAAGCACAACGTGCACGGCTGTTCTMGTCACTTCTTCATGCAGGAAAAGGGGAGGATTGGCTGAAAATATAAGACGGGGAGGGAGAATGAGTAGGCTCCGAGGTGGTGTGAGTGCAAGTACCTGGTGGGCAGAGGAACATAGAGGAACATGTCAGGGAGTGACATATGACAAGGGGTCGTGTAGGAGTGAATGGCACCTCAGCAGGATCACAAAGATGAATTCCTCCACAGGTCGGGTCAAACTGTCTCTAAGTATGGGTCCAGCAGAGAGAAGGGAATAGAGAATGGTTCGGATACGGCAAACTGAAGACAAACGTAGGATGAGGGGGTTTAAACAGAGGTTAGATTTCCTCTGTGATACCRGGGGAAGTGTGTACGTTAAAGGTGTTTAATAAAACTTTGATAGAGTGTAATAACGTAATTAGGGTAAGTGCCTTGAAGTTAAGAGATCTTTGAGATTGGAGACTCTGAAAAGAAGGATTTGGTGGAAGGGTAGCCCAAAAAGAGTGTGAGTAGGGGCACTGTGTATAAAGGCACCCTTGAAACCACCTTGAGCTGGATGTGGAAAGCTCAAACAGGCAGGAAGGAACATGCCTGGGACTCAGCCAAGCAGAGCAGTGTCTTCACACAATGGGCAAGGCTGGATTGTGCCCCCGTGGCACAACTGCGTAACTCCCTCCATGGCAGCAGAATCTGTGTTGCAAATGGCCCTCGATATTTAATATTACTGAGCACTGGATCTTGGCTGTGACCCAGAGCTGTCTACCTGAGTGGTGTGCAGATCAGACACTCAGGCATGCTGGGTTGGGAAGGCAGTGTGGTAGGATCTGGGTGTTGAGGTGGTGCTGGCAACACACGTGCTCTGGTGAGCAAAGATGCCTGAAACATCACTGTCCACGATGGAAAATGACAAGAGGACAAGCTATGGCAAAATACAAAAGCAGGGTGGAAAGATTTAAAATTGTTGTTAAAAACAAAGCAAAGTGAAGGCAGGKTCACTTAGAGTCCTGTAAACAAGCACTGGGAAATGCTGCAAAATTAGAAAGATGTAGCAGAGAGATGAAGACCTTATTTCATGGTTAATGAGTAGTAAATTAATGGAATAAAGACTAATATAATGGTAGGRTGCCAGATACTTCTCATAAGGTGAATACATTTTAGAGGTAAAAGTGTGATTATTTTGATTTTGGCCATTCATTGATCAGTTTCTGCTAGCACTTCCTAGCATTTCAGGCACCAGAATGAATAATTACAGTTGACATTCCATATGTTATTTCAATATTATGTCTATGGAAAACTTGCCTTTGAGGGGGTTTGTCTGCTCAACAGGAGGATGTTGAGCCCAAAATTCTTGTGTTCCTTCATGGTAAACTGAGTCACAGAATGGGTGAGTAGAGGCTGTGTGCTTTACCTATGTGTGCACCTCAGGCGTCTACATGTGGCTTTCCAGTTTTTCCTGGACAGATTTATCCTTGCTGCAGGTCAATGTTGAGGAAATATATCAGTCTTTCCTGTGACTATAATAGGTGTTACTACATCCGTTCAGGGCGTTTATAATGACTGTGCATCACTGCAGAGCAGTAAACCCAGCAGCTTCTTAGGTATTGTGGATGATGWTGCAGAAAAGGAATGTAGGGCAGAYTGGGAGTGGGGGAAATCTGAWTTGRAATTTCATGRTGRTTTGGTGGGAATTGGGCATTTCTGCAGTTAACAATCAAGAAAAGAAAAAGAGGTAAGCAGCATACAATAAGTACTTGCACTGTGTACTGTGTGCAATGGATTCTTGAACAGGTCTGTGTCCTGTGTAATTAAGGTGGATGCCCAGCAGCAACCCYGCAGCTTTCTCTCAGCCTTCTGCTGCCACCCTGCTTCCTCCAGCGTGCTAAAGGACTCTATAGCATCAACGCAGCAGAAGTAAAATGCAACATTTAGTACTGCCAGGACCTCCTGGAGTTAAAAAATCRTATCTGCAGACAGTTGTGCTGGAGCAGACCGAGACCTGCTCCGGTGTGCCAGGATGAGAACCTCACTCTGAGGCTTTGCTGAGTTGTGAAGATGAGAACAGATGTATGGATTTTTTTTATTTTTTTTTTTTTTATTTAATGTACAACTTTTGGCTGTGCTCCAGAGAGGCCCTATGTACACTATGTATAATTGAAATGCTCTGTTTCACTTGCATGGAAATTCTAATCTGTAGAAAGAAACACAATGAATATGAGAAGGGTTAAGATCTGTCCTTACCACACATTTATRGCCTCTTGCTTGATCGATCAGGATCTCACCATAACAAGCTCTCACATGAGGAAGCTGGAAACAGAGGAGATGGAGGTGCTGCCAGGGCTCATCTGTATAGACTGCTGCTAAACATCATTCCAGGAAGGTTTTCCAGGAGATATTTTGAAATGCCTTTTCTGCCCTTTCCCACCTGCTTTGGGGTGTAGTTGTTTACCGTTCCCTCCGTGTAGGAAGTTGGGGGAGCAGGGATCTTTSATGTTATTTTTTTTTCCACTCATGATCCGCAGTCTCTATGTGGTACCAGCTCGTCTCTCACCACAATTCCCGGGCATGTCCTAAATGCCAAACCTCTTTGATGCCGATGTTTATTTCTTTACGAGTAATTGGACTGCTGCAGCCTCCCATTTACCCCCGCCACCCAAGCCATCCCCATCCTGCTTTGGAGGGCTGGATGGGAGCTCATCTGTGGCTGGGGGTGATCTGACTGTCAGGGCAGAGACCCTTCTCTCCAACAATCCGTGTTAATTTACCCTGTTCAGAAGGTGAAGCAGGAAATAGG